CCCTCTAGGACATCGCCTGCCCCGCCTCAAGCAGGATCCGGGGAAGGCTAATGGCTCCCCTAGAACTGAACGTACTGGCTCCCCACACCTCACCTGCCTCCCACCTACTCTTCTCCCTGCCCCTTGCCGTCCTGTTTGACACCATCAGAGCCCAGAGCTGCTGAGGGGCTTGCTGGTGTGGTCCCTTCCAGGAGGGGTCCTGTGGGGGCTGCTTGGTCAAAGGCCCAGGGTTGGGGAGGGACACAGCTCTCATTCTCCTGCCCAGGGACCCCCGAGGCCAGCAGGAGAGGGGTCCCAAGGGAGCCCAGCTCTTGGCTGGGAAAGTAGGTCCCATCTCCCATCTGCCTCCCTGCCCCTCTGTATATTCCTCCTCCTCCCTCTCCACGCCCCCAAGCACACACAACATCCCTACGAGTTGGGGGCCTTTCCAGGGAAGCAGATGAGAGAGGCCCAGGAGAGAGACTGGGTTTTCACCTGGAGCCAGGGGCCATGGACCATGAAATAAATCAGACCTTGACTCACTGGGGCTTTCCTGAGCTGTTGAAAAATCCTTACATTGAAGAAACAGGAACAGAGCCTGCTGGGCATCCAGGCTGCCATGTCTGTGGCCAGTAGGAGTGATACCTGATCAGTCTCCACTTCTGCCTACACTGCCTTGTGCCCGTAAGGGAAATATTGGCCAGGGAGGGGTCAGCTCCCCTGGTAATGCAGGACACACATCTGGCATACAGGACACATACCTGAGCATACAGGGCACACATCTGGGCATACAGGGCACACATCTGGGCATACAGGACACACACCTGGAGATGCAGGACACTCACCTGGGGGTGCAGAGTACACACATGGAAACACAGTACCCACCTGAGAATACAGGCCACACCTCAGAGTATGCTTCATTTGGTGGGTTGGCATTTTCACCTCCTGGCAGCCTCTTCCTCTAAGTGACTTTAGTTTTCATTATGTGGAAAGTGGATGGCACAGGTGGGAATGGGCATGGAATGCCACCCTGGGTTCAGACTCACCTCACTCCCCAGAAACCGTGGACACAGGAAAGCAGAGGGGAACCACAGCCTCCATGGGAAGGGGGTGGGGAGGAGAGGAGCCAGGTAGGTGGGATGCTGGAGGCTGGCCCTTGGAGGGAGGCCCCTGCATGCAGGCTATCCTCACTGGTACAGAAGGGCTCTCTGGACACCCCTGTATCCCAGTAGACCTCTACTGGAGCCCTCAGCTTCTTTTTAAATTAAATTTATTATTATTACACTAGAGGCCCGATGCACGAAGATTCGTGCAAGAATGGGCCTTCCTTCCCCTGGCTACCAGCACCGCCTTCACTCTGGAGCCGCCTTTCCACCTACGCTCCGGCCCAGAGCCGCCTTTCTGCCTTCCCACGCTGCCCAGAGGCCCAGAGCAGCTGGGGTGGTGCAGAACGCCTGCTCAGCACCTGTGTATGCAAATTAACCCATCATCTTTGTTGTGTTAATTTGCATACTCATGATTAGCTGGTGGGTGTTGCGAAGGTGTGGTCAATTTGCATCTTTCTCTTTTATTAGTGTAGATCATTGTGGAACTAGCACATGGATTTCCTGGGGCGATTCAAACAACAGAAGGATGTAACCCCTCCCCTCAGGCCCAGCCTCCCTCAGGCTTCCTAGCAGCTCCAACGCTTCTCTATCTAGTCCCCACAGTCGGCTTTCCCAGAGTGGGGTGCGTGATTTCTGCTCTCCCATGCCCTGCGTCTCCACACAACAAACAATAGTCTTGGAGATCTTCCCCCACCACACATAGGGGCTAACTCCTTCTATTATTTTTGTTAAAGTAATTTTAAAATATTTTACTATGATCACACATTTTCATAGTAAAACAAAGCGGAAACCCAGAACAGAACTGTGTTTTGGGTCTTGTGGCCGAGTTACCTCTGCAGCTTCAAGGTCACAGACTGAATGGTTGGCAAGGGTGAGGGCAGCAGGGGCAGTGAGGGTGTGGCAGGGGAGGGGAGGTGCCCTGCTCCACCCACCTCCCACCTGGGTCATTGCTCCAGAGCCCTTCTGTCCACCATCCCTTCAAACATCTCTGAGCTGATCCTAAGTGACAACCCATCAACACACACAGACACAGCCCTCAAATGGCATTGAAGGCAGAGGCACGCCGCCTGCAGCCACAGCTCCAGAAGGAAGCATGGCAGGTTGAAGCCGCCAGCCACCTGGTGAGAAAGGCCCTGGGCCTGCCACCCCCAGGGCTGAGGTTAGAGGCTCCTGTTCATTTCCTGGACTTTCCTGGCCAGCTTGACCCTGTCTTTCTGCTCTTCCCAAACTCTCCCCCCAAGTCCCCCTCCCAGTGCTGCCTGTCCACTCTGGTCGGGCCTCCTGTGCCCTCCTCAGGGTTAGCCGTGGATTCTCACCGCCTGACTGCCACCAACAGCCTGCTTGACAAGTGTGGCAGAGCCCCCAGCTCGTCTGTGCACAGCCGTCCGGCCCCTCACCCCGGGGGCCATGGTCTGAAAGGGCTTTTCTTCAGCACCTTTAAAGCATGGGCCCCTTTCTTCTGCTGCCCAGGGCAGCAGATGGAGACCAGGTGGGGTTTTCCGTCTGGGAGCAACCTCAACTGTCCGGTGGGATTCAGGGCAGCATTTGTGGCAGACGCTTCATGCATAGCAGCCACATGCCGGTGCCTTCCTGCGGATCCAGCCTCCACTCAGGCTTCCCCTCCAATTCGTCTAAAATCACACTCACCATTGCCCTCTTACCGGCCTTCATTCTCCTCGGTGCACCTCTCACTACCTGATGTCATACCATTTATGTTTGTTTACCTCTTTATTGCCTGTATTCAGCTGGAAAGTAAAGCTATGACAGCAGAACTTTTTCACATCTATTCCATCCCTCTCACTTTTTCATGGACTCGTTAAAGCCCCGTGCCCAGCACGAGTTGGGCCGAGGGATGTGTGGTGCCTGAGCAGGTTGGTGTTCACCCCCTCCCGGCCGCCCCTGGTGTCCTTTATCCTCGGGATCCTTGGGGGCTGAGGCTCTCAGAGAGCCCACTCTGCGTTCCAGGATCAGTGTATCTGTTCAGCATGTGCTCAGAGCACTTCACAGGGATTCGTTTTGTTCTTGTCATTGGTGGGGTGCCCAGTCCCGCCACACGTGGCTTGTGGGGGGGGGGGGGCTTGCTGTTGGTTCCCTGGAGGGCTGGCTCAGCCCCAGACACTGAGCGGGGTGTGTGTTGGGGGACGCGGCGGGGGGGGGGGGGGGGCTTTGGGGAGGAGCCCTGGCTTCCCCCATCCAGGTTCTTGCTATAAAATAGTGCTGCTAGGAAAGTTGCAAAATACAGAAAAGCACAAGAAGAATGCCCACAGTTCCGACACCAGAGCCAGCGATCCCCAATGCACTCAGGGGTGCTTTCTTCTCACGATACGGCGCTTCCTGGACCATGCACTGAGCTGGAAGCATCACAGGAGGTTTCTTCCTCTTTGACCAAGTTGAATGCTCGTGCGCATTCCCACAAGTCAGCTCATGCTTCTTGTAACTGCTCAGCCATGTTTCCTTCCTGGGCACTGAGTGCTGAAGAGATGCTCAGCCGACCTCTCAAGAAACTCCTGTTTCAGACAGAGAAATAGTGTCAGTAATAAACCTGGAAGCAATTCTGCCGCCACCTGACTCCTCACCTTGGCACTGGATTCCTTGGAGGGATAGCGCCCCTGCCCCGCCCCTGAGCCCTGTGGGAAGCCGGAAGTGCTGTCCAACTGACACTTACATGGCTGTGCTCCATCACCGGGGGTCCAGGATCTCTCTCAGCAGCCGGTGCCCTTTTTGCGCCATCACAGAGGATGGGGGACAGAGTGGGACCACAGCCCCCGAGGCCCCTGAGAACATCCAGTCCAATGGCGGAGGGCATTTGACTCCTTCCTGTTGGGAATCTGTAGTATCTTGAGTTCAGCAGGGCCACCAGGACCCCCCACAATGCCCAGTCGCCCATCTTCCTCTGTCCTAAAGGGTGTTGAGAAGATAGATTGATGGGGATGTTCAGTGAATGGCAGAGCTGTGAGCAAGCTTGCACAGACTACCCCTGGATTGTGTGTTGTGCGCCAGTGGGTCCCGAGTTCTAACCTCTCATTGAGCCCCAGCAGTGACCTTTCTCAGGGAGGCATACAGAGATGAGCCACTCCTCAGGGACCCATGGGGATCTTACATGGGGCTGGCATCTCGTGGTCTTGCCCTGGCCGTGGCCTGATGCAGTGGGAGGCTGCATGGCTGCATTGCGTTCTGTGCTCATGAAACCCGCTAGAGGCAGCACGGGCTCCTATCTTCTGAGCCCCCGGGGACCCAGCCCAGCTTTGGGGATCTGGCACCTTACAGAGGCAGAGCCTCACGGGAAGGTCAGTGCAGACACCCCATCTCCCCACACAGGACCCTCAATGGTGGCTTTCCTCCAGTGCATGCAGTCCCCCCCCCCCTGCACCTGGCTGACGCCCTGGGGTGTCCCTCTCCTACTCGCAGGGGGGCAGCAGGCTCAGCCCTGAGGTGAAGTAGCAGCCGATTCTGGATACCCCCTCCCCAAGGATGGCATCACTCTGTGGACCCCAGGAAGGATGTCTTTCTGGGGAGTCACCCAGCAGGTGTGGCCCAGGGAGGAGACCGTGATGGGCAAGTGACAAGGAAGGGGCCCTGAGCCCCAGGTGTCTGAGCTGGGTGCACTACCATGGCCCTGCCAATTGCGGATGGCTTTGACTATTTGGGGTCCTTAACCCAGCAATGGCTGTCAGGGTGCTGGTGCTTGCGGGACAGGTCATGTTCAGCAGCAGGACAAGTGCTCACCATCCTGCTGTGGCCCCTGGGCAGGGGTTCTGCCCCCTCTTGCCCAGGGTTCGGCTCCAAGGGGCCCCAGGGGCCCTGCTACATCCCAGGCACCTGCCAGCCTCCTGTCCTGTGAGTGAGTTGGAGGAGCCTTGGGCAGCGGCCCCGAAGAAACAGAATAACCCCTTTCTTCTCTCCTTTCTCCACCAGAAACATGGCTGACAGCAAGGCCAAGCCCACCAAGGCTGCCAACAAGACACCCCCCAAATCCCCAGCGGACTCTGCCAAGGACAAAGCAGCTAAGAGGCTGTCACTGGAGTCAGAAGGTGCCAACGAGGGGGCGGCCGCCTCGGCCCAGGAGCTCAGTGCCCTGGAGGAGGCCTTCCGGCGGTTCGCGGTGCATGGGGACACCAGAGCCACCGGGAAGGAGATGCATGGCAAGAACTGGTCGAAACTGTGCAAGGACTGCCAGGTGATCGACGGGAAGAACGTGACTGTCACCGACGTGGACATCGTATTCAGCAAAATCAAGTAAGTGAGCTGAGCTCTCTCACCACACAGCCAGCTTCCTGAAGGCCTGTGGTCAGCCAGGCCGCAATCCAGGGTCCGCGGGTGGATTTTGTATCTTAACGGGCTGTGAGGAAGTGTGATGCTTCAAGATCCTTCCCTTCCCAGAATCAGATGCCCAGGGATTGGAACCAGAGCAGGCTGCCTTGGGGTTAGCTGGGACCGGGGGAGGGGGCGCTGCCCTGCCCTCGGGAGCTTGGAGGGGTCTCAGTGGCCGAGCTCCTGGCCCACTGTGGGCTGAGCCTGAGAGGTGCCGCTCTGAAGCCTGTCCCCCAGTCTGACCTGCATCTCGCCTGCCCCTGCCCGCAGCCCCTCTGTGGGGCTCCCCTTTCGTTTGGGAATGAGGCACGTGAAGAAGAGTGTGGGTGACAGAGCAGTTAGCACCTGAGCCTTCAGCTGTGGCCCCGTGACTGTGAGAAGTGTGCTTCCTCGTATGCACATACATCTGTGTGCATGCAGGTGTATGTTCCTGTGCATCTGTGGAGACACGCGTGTGTGTGCATGTACATGTGCTCCTGCACACATCCTTTCTGCTGGACATTGGGAGCATATCCAGGAAAGGTTACAAACACCCGCTTCCCTTTCCACCGGGCATCTCTGGAGCATGAAAATATTCTCCTGCCCTCCGCACCCATGAGCACACATGGGGAAATTAACAGCACCCCCAAGGCCATCAAGCGTCCAGCCCTCTCTATCCAGGTCATACTTGTTGCTAGAAAATGGCTTTATTTCAGTTTATTTTTGTCCTACGTCCACCAAGGCTGGTGTGATCCTTTAGTTATTTGTTGCTGTGACCTTGCCATGTTTCATCTCAGATGCCCCCGCGCCCTCCCTGCTAATGGCCTGGCTCCTCCCTCCCTCCATCCTCCTCTGAGCACAGAGGCAGTGAAAAAGAGTTTTTCTTTGCACCCCCAGAGCCTATGACTTCATGTCCCCACTTTGCTTGTGGAAATGTCTGGTGTATCTCCATCATGGTGAGGTCTCCCCAACTCCCCAGCCTGACATACCATCCAGACAGCCACGCCAGGCAGACGGGCCAGTCACCATGGAGCCATGGGACAGCCCTCCTGGGGTTGGCTCATTCCCACCAACTGGGAGGTTGCACGGGGTGGCCTGGCTGGGGCAGGGTAGAGGTGGCCCCACAAGTGGTCCCTGAGGGCCAGCCATCAGGACCTAGTCACCACCAGCACAGGAGACTGGCATTCACCAGGTCGAGGGACTCGGCCTCTCAGTCTCACCTGAACAGGTGGAGGAACATTGCAGATTTACTACAGTCGGGCCAGAGCCCCAACAACATAATAGCACAGGGTATGGGATCCTGGTGGACGATCCATTTCCTGTGAGCCTGTGCCTTTTCAAGGCCTAGGGTTAGAGGAGGGTGTGGAGCCAGGAATTGAAGGAAGGGCTGGATGCAGGTAAGGAGGTGGGATGCAGGTGAGGAAGAGGAGGAGGGCACAGGTGTGGAGGGGAAGAGGAGGTGGGAACCTGTGAGGTGGAGCAGGAGCTGGGCCAGGTGAGGAGGAGGAGCTGTGGCAGGGCCTGGGATGAGGCCCAGCATGGGCCCTCTGTCCAATTCTTGGGCAGGTCTCCAGGCCTTTAGCATTGGTCTTTGTAAACTCAGTGTGTCCAGGAGAGAAAGAGGGACAGACCCAGGAGCAAAGGAACCCCGAGAGCTGTGTCTGTGGGGGGATGTTACGGAAGGGCTGGAGGCAGGTGAGATGAGTGTTGTGTCCAGGGACAGGTCACCCCACCAAGGAGTGCCACAGGTTCCCACACCCTTGGCACTGGCCTAGACATGCAAAGTGTTGGGGCAGGTGGGGACAATTCTTCTTTCCTCGCTCTTAATTCCTTCTGCAGTAAGTTGCCTTTAAGCTATTGCATGCAGGCATGTACACACATGTGCACACAGCTCACATATGTGTACACAGACCTGCCTATGCACATGAGCTCACAGTGCGCGCGCGCGTGTGCGCACACACACACACACACACACACACACACACACACACACATACCACATATGCACAATACATGCAGGTGCACACAGGTAGAACTCAGGCTGCCCATATCCTTGCAGGGGGAGAGGTAGCAAGTGTGGTGGTGGCTCGTTCAGAAGACAGCTGCCCTGGACGAGCCCAGAAACCCTGTGCGCAGGAGGCATGTGCACCCCATTACCCACATGGGGGGCACTGGCTTCAAGGAGTGAGTGGGCACCAGGAAGGACTCCATCTGCTCCCCATGCTGATCCTGGGAGGCAGGATGTCAGCTGCTTGGACTCAAGGTTGAGGCGTGGATCTTAGCTCCTGGGCATGATGGGCCTCCCATTGCAGAGCCCAGGACTATTCGTGGTCCCCTGGTGTCCCTGCCTCAGGTCACTTTGGGGGACATGGAATGGGAGAATGGGTAACTGTGGCCTGGCCCTTGAGGGGTTGTGGCCACTACACAGTGAAGACCAGTTTGTGGTGGCCACAGGGGCCCCCAGAAGGGAGCGGGAAACCCCCTGCTTGGGTGGCTTGCTGGATACCACAGGTTACAGTAGGAGGGACTCACGCCCTTGTCCCTGGGTAGGAGAGGTGGACAGTGCCCTTGGGTAGGGTCACAGGATCCTGCAGGACGGGCCGAGACCTCAAAGTTGCTGACTTGGTAGAGAAGAGCAGCTCTTCTGTTTGGGGGTGGTTGCCAGGGCTCTGGGCGGTGACGCCAGCCAGGGTATCTGCAGCCTTTGTTTAGGTCCTGTCGCCATGGCAGTGCCTGTTTGTTTTGATGTTACTATGTGTTAAATTTTAAACAAATTTCTTGCAGCTCTGTACCAGGTCTAGATGGAAGACTATTGTTACCTAGACAAAGACTCCGACATCCTCCACGCCCCAAAGGACAGATGATGGTCAGTCTGAAAGATTAATTAATCAGGACCTCATATGCACAAGCAGGAGGGTCACCCTGACAGTCCCATTTGAGGGGCCATGGACGGCACCATCCCCTTCCATCCTGTATGCATGTGTGGGGTCAGGCATGCGGTTCCCACCCTGCAGGTGGAAAGGACAGACCAAGGGGGCAGAGGACGGCGGGGTCTCTGCTGCAGCCTCTCCTGACCCTTGCACATGCCTGTCTGGTGGGTGCTGTGTGCATGCAGAGAAAACAGCCTGTTTCTCGTGACACTGGTGCAGGGAGGCAGCTCAGCCCCTGTGTCTGGCATCTGGGTCTCAGGTTAGAAGGAAGCAGGTGGGCGGGGCTCCCTGTCACTGAAGACTTGGAAAGCTGCCCCATTCTTGCCACACACGCTACAGTCAAAGCTAGGACACACGGAAATTGTCTGAAGCAGGGGCTCCTGGGCCATGGGTGTGCACCCCAGAGGCTCAGCATAGAAGCACAGGCCTGAGGCCTACATGCCATCCAGTGGTATCCAGAGCCCAGAGCAGGCTAAGCCCATAGTAGGAGCCCCAGCAAAGCTCGAGTGTGGGGTGGGGTGTCTCCGAGAGCTGATATGGCCACACTCTGGGAGGAAGGGCAGCCCCTGCTCCTCCCTCCAGGCTGGCGGTGCGGTTGGGGCATTGGGGTTGGTGCACCCAGTCCCCCCCACTGTGCTTTCAGCTTCGTGTTGGGGTCTCCCAGTGTCAGGGTGGCTGTGGTGGGAGTGCTTCTCTGTGGGGCCCTCTGGTGACCACTGGCAGCAGTGCAAGGCGTCCACCGGGCCTCTGGGCCCTGCCCCTCCCAGGGTAAGTCCAAGCCACCTCAGGCTTGGACCAGGCAAACACGAAGTTAGGGTTAGGAAGAACCCTGAGGGTGTTTTCTCCTCCTTAGGGGAAGTAGCTGAATGTGGTGGGCAGGAGGGGGTGGGGGGTGGGGCAGGTCACAGCTGTCCCTTCAGGCAGGTCGGGGCCATCTGCAACCAGACCTACGATTTGAGTGGCTATCAGCTGGGCCTGCACTTGACTCTGAACCTGCTGGGGCCCAGGCAGGCAGGGTGGTCAGTGGAGGAAGTGGCCCTGGGCAGGGGTGAGGGCGAGTGTCTGCCAGGAGAGCCCTCCACGAGCATAGTAAGCAATCCTCCAGGCAGGGCTTCCCGAGGGGTGCGTCCCCCCAAGACAGCTCCTCCAGGTGCCCCCACATCTCGCTGGCCCAGGGGATGATGGGGATGCTACCGATGCTCCCAGCTCTCTGACCTTCATCAGTGCCTTAGATCTCCCCTCGACACCCCACTTCCTGCCCACAGTGGCATCCTGGCTGCTCTCTGGACAGGCCACCAGGTCCCAGCTGCTGCTGGTCAGGGGAGCCTGGGAGAACCAGCACTTTCTCTGGCTCTCCCACCCCTCCACCCTCAATGCCCCTCAGAGAAGGGCCTGGGAGAGTGCAGTTTGCTCTGATACTCGAAGTTGCTGGCAAGGAGGGCACGGGGGTCACGGTGGGTGCTCCATCCTGGGTGCATCCTGTGTGTTGGCCCTGGAGACACACAAGCCTGGGTCTGTCCTGGGAGGGCTGAACTGGCCCGCGTGTCCCTAGGTGGCCTTCAGGAGCAGCTCGCCCAGCCCCTCCCTGCTTGCCCTGAGTTGGGCCTGGAGGCCCAGGGGACGCAGGGGCCTCGCGTCTGGCTTTCCAGCAGAACAACAGCCTCTGAGCAGGGCTATGGGGGTGGAGGGCTGTGGGGACACCGCTGTGTGCACTTGGGAACAGGCTCGCTCTGTGTGGACTGCAGCGTGATGTGATCCTGTCCCGGGGAAGCGCCTGGCATTGTCACTGTAGAACTCCCGGGGGACTCTCTCAGCAGTAGGGCACCAGGTTCCCTGGGGAGGGCTCCAAGACCCACCTATCGGCCACAGAGGTATCCTGGGGGACACCTGGCCCAGCCAGGTGGAGCGGCCAAGTCAGGGACCTGGACCAGTGTGTCAGCCCAATCTGAATGCGCCCTTTGACGGGAGTCCCTGTGGGCCACCCCCCCACCCTGGCCGGAGTGACTCACCCTGGTGGCGCCTGGTGCCGCAGTGCCCAGAGAGGGCTGTGCGCTCTAGCGGCTGGTCACCGGGCCAGCCGTCAGGCCTGGTGTCCACATGCCAGCCTGGGCAGGCCGTGAATAGGAGACAGGAGTGCCTGTGACAGCCCAGGACAAACAGGCCCCCTCGGGCCCCAGAGGTTACCCACCAGCAGGGTCAGGAGTAAGACCAGAGTCTGTGTTTACACCATTCCAGGCACCCCAGGCTGAGGGCAGCTTCCCTGGAATGCCCTCTGTGCCCACAGACTTCGTGCCTGTGGATGCTGTCTGAGAGCTTTGAGGGGCAGAACCCACCACCAAACACTGTGGGTCTAAGGAAACCCCAGTCCAGCCCGTTACCCAGCCCCTGCCCTGTGGTCCTTGTCCATGCAAACGCCCTCGGGTCAGATGGCTCTGAATGTGCCTGAGGGCCCATCCCTCCTGCCCGAATGGTCTCCCCGAGGGTGAAGTTGGGCTGCAACCTCCAATCAGCAGTGTCCTGCCCATGGGCCAATCAGCATGGCCCGGTCTTCAGACACAAGTGTAATGTGAGAGGGAACCCCTGTGCTTGCTGGGGGCATGCTTGTTCATCCATTGCTGAAGGGCAGGGGCTGTTTCTGGGTCTTGGTGACTATGAGCAGAACTGTGAGTAGGGAGGCAATAATGCATGAGCTTGTCTTCATTGCTCTTGAGTGAGAACTCAGGAGTGGGTCTCAGGGTCATGCCATAGGTGTGACCTTTAAGAAACTGCCAGACAGCCTTCCACAGTGGCCGCCACGCTGTGTTCCCACCGGCTGCGTCGGATTGAGCCCCAGAGCCCCAGAGCCCCGCATCTCCCCAGCACCGGGGATGTCGTCACAGTCCTCTAGTCACTGGGGCCCCCTGTGGGTGTGTGGCGTCTCTCCTGGAACTGACGACATGGTCTCTCCATGTGCTTGTTTGCCACCCACCGATCTTGGTGAAGTGTCTGGTTCAAATATTTTGTCCAATTGTTTACACTGGATTTCTTCTTCTTGTTGCGTTTTCAGAGTTCTTCATATATTTCCAATACAGTCCTTTATCAGACATGTTTTGCGAGTATTTCTCCCAGTCTGTGGCTTGTCTTTGCATTACAGTGTCTTTTGAATAGTTATAAAATTCATCCTTTTTTTTGGATGGACTGTTTTCTGGTCTCATTTCTAAGATATCTCTAACTGAGGTCATAAGTATTTTCTTAGATGTTGTTCCAGAAGTTCTATAGTTTTAGGTTTATAATAAGTTTAGACTGACCCACGTTGAGTTAGCCTTGGTATATGGTGAGAGGCACAGGTCGAAGCTCCTTATTTTACGCGGATGTCCAATTGGTGAAAGGCGATCCTTGCTCCGTTGAATAGCCTTTGCTCTTATGTGGAAAACATGTTTGCCATTTTGAACCGGGGAAGATCCAGTTAAAATGGCAAAAATGCTTTTTTAGTTAAAATGATAAAAGGTGAAAAGCCAGGTTAGAGTGTTGGACTGACCTCCCATGGGAAACTCTGTGCTGTCATCGGTGCGTCTGGATGAAGGGTTGCACGTAGGCCCTGCCCAGCCCCGTGGCTCACCTGTGCTGCTCATCTGGACTGGCACTGGTCAGGCTGCGTGGCCTCTGGGCAGGGGGCAGCAGGGTCCTGGGTGGTGGGCCTGATGTGCGGGCCCTGGGCACACCTTGCCAGGCATCCTGGGAGTGCCCCCTCTTGTCCCTGGGTGGTGACCATGACCCAACACTGCCTGCCAGCCAGGACCAAAGCCTCTTCCCTGTGGTTCGGATCTGACGGGCTTCTCACCCTAACTTTTCTTTGAAAGTCCTCCCAAGTGGAGGCCACACACATGCCCCATTTAGAACCAGACAACGGCTCTGTTTGAATGTCCAGTTGTTCATAAAGGATGTGCTTCCTTTAAGCTTTTTTCCAAGACAATTTATATTTGCTGCTGTTGCCAATGGCGACGGACTGTTGGGGGTAAACACTGCAGGGGGAAGGGCATGTTCTGTGTTTTAATGTTAGGCTCACTTTCTGGTGTGGGTCCCCCGATGTCAGTGGATGCCCAGGCAGGGTTAGGGTTCCCCAAGGTCACTGGGTCCTGGGTCCGGTGCCCAAGCCCCCTCTCCCTGCAGGGGCAAGTCCTGTCGGACCATCACGTTCGAGCAGTTCAAGGAGGCGCTGGAGGAGCTCTCCAAGAAGAGATTCAAGGACAAGAGCAGCGAGGAGGCCGTGCGAGAGGTGCACAGGCTCATCGAGGGCAAGGCCCCCATCATCTCAGGAGTGACGGTGAGCGGGGCCACTGGGCGGGTCCCTCGGGAAATGGGGTCCATGGGGTCGTGGGGACAGATGGCAGTGCCCTAAAGACGGGGTGAGAGCCTTAATCCCCAGTGTGGGCCGGCCCAGGCCACCTCCCCGGGCTAGGTTGAGAGTGGATTCCAGGAGCATTAGCACCCCTTATGGTCGGGCCTAGCCCCTTTGGTTCCCCTCTCTGGCTCCCTGACATACCCATTCTTTCTCCTGCGGCGTGACGGCAGTTAACGTCTCTCCCTGCTCTCCCGCAGAAAGCCATCTCCTCGCCCACCGTGTCACGGCTCACGGACACCACCAAGTTCACAGGCTCCCACAAGGAGCGCTTCGACCCATCAGGCAGGGGCAAGGGCAAGGCCGGCCGCGTGGACCTGGTGGACGAGTCGGGCTACGTGCCAGGCTACAAGCACGCGGGCACCTACGACCAGAAGGTGCAGGGGGGCAAGTAGCCAGTTTCCCGGGGACAGGGCCTTCTTCCTTTGCTGGCCCCACATCACCTCACACTTCTTTACATTCCTGGGCTCACTGGGGCAGAACTCAGACGCTGGGGTGGAGGGGCTGTGGGTGACTCCCAGACCTCCTCCTGCCTGGAGCCCCGGCACGCTCCTCTCCTACCCCAGGTGCAGCCCCTGAACTCACTGACCTTCCTCTAATGCACCTGCCTCATCCCACGTCGGGAAGCTAAGGGGTGGTCATTTCCAAAGTGTTTCCTGGATCCAGACCACATGGGCCACCTGGTTTGCAGGTGAAAGGGGTGTTTTGAAGGAGCAGGTGGGACAGACCCTGCCAGAGGTGATGCTGACCTCCTGACCAGCAGACCTGCCCAGGAACCATGAGGGCAACATGCACTAATGCACTAACCAGCAGCACCAGGGAGATGACGTGAACCTCGAACAGGACACAGGGACATCTCTGAGGGCTCCGTTCAGATGTGCGACACACAGGTGCATGCTTACACACACACACACTCACGCACTCATGGACACATGCTTACACATGCTCATGCCCCCCCCCCCACATCCACTCACACACACATGCTTACACACACACGCCCACCAACCAGGTCTGTGCCGAGGACGGTCATATGAGCGAAGGCTGGTGTGCAAAGGAAGGTGAGCCCGTGAAAGGATGCTCCACAGGAGACCAAAGGAAAGTGATCTGAAGTGTGAAGTTAGAAGTTTTTAAATTGGACACTAAGGACAGGTCATTTCCTTTTGCTTTTTAAAGAAAAGAAGAAATCAGAAGAAACAGTGACTGTGTATTTATTCCCAGAGCGGATCAGGGAAGAATCAGAATATCCCGTGTCTGTGACTCTCTCTCCCTGTTGGCCCTGTTGGCCCTGAGGCTCCCCCACAGACAGGTGTGTGATGGGGCATCTTCTGCCCATCCCTGTTCTGAAATCAGGGCCTCGAGGCAGCAGTCGCCGTGGCTACTCCCTTTGCTCACAGTGCAGCACAAATCTCTGTGGCTCCAGCCTCTGCAGTTAATTCTTGCCTCTCTGAACTCCCCCGACCTGGGAGTACAGGAAACTGCACAACAAGACCAGGCCAGGGAGGGCCTCCCCGAAAGGCCCACACATATGCTGGGGTTGGCGAGCGCTTTCACAGTGGCCACAAGGCAACACTCCATTTGCATAAATGCAGCCACAGCCTGGTGCGTCACCTTCTGGCTATGTGGTCCTGGAGCCGGTCCTGGGAAAAGCCCACGGCAGTCTCAGAAGATGCTTCCACAGCCAGTGTCTGCTCTGCACTTCTTCCTGGTCACGGCCTGGCCCAGCACGGGCAGCTGAAGCATGGACCAGCACCGCCACAGCACACGGGCTGGTCACCGCTGGGGCTGGGAAAGGCCCAGGGCCAGCATCTCCAGCTGTGTCTCCACCAGACCCCTCGCACACCGGCCTCCCCTCACCATCCCCCATCCGCCTCTGTGGACAGCTTCATTCGGAGGTCCTGGGAGCTCACAGCGTGTGGCATTGGAGCCCAGGGGATGGAGCACAGGCTCCGAGGGCCACTTCTAGGGCTAATCTCACCATTGTCTTGAAAGTTTCTAACTTGGGGATCCTAGGCTGCCAGCAAGGCTACTCTGCAGTGAGGAAACTGAGGACCGGGGCTGGACAAAGGCAGGCAAGATGCCAGTCCCCACCCTGTGCCTCCCTCCTCCCCCAGGCTGGGCCTTTAGGGGAAACCCAAAGGCAAGAGTAACCTGTGGAAAAGTGTCTGAAGGCAACTGAACGTGCAGTGTTTCTTGACAATAAGCTGATCACAAACCACAGCCCTCGTGTTCCAGCGCTGGCGAGGTTTTCTTCCGTGGCCACATTTCCCCCCATGCGTGGCGGCACTGCCATGGGGGCATGCCGTGGGCTCCTGGTCAGGCTGCTTTTCTCCTGCCCCTGGGCAGCCCCGTTCCCCTCGTCACAGACACTGGAATCGGCAGGGCCTCGGCCACATGCACGCTGGCAAAGGCTGCCCACGCCACAGCCCACCGAGGCAGATGTCACCTGGGCCTGCCATGGGTGCAGGCCCTTCTCAGCCCTTCCTTGCCTGCTGGACCCGGGAGAGAGGTGCCAGCACCAGGACAGGTGTCCTGTCCCAGAGCGCTGTCTTCAGGCGAGAACAGCTCCACACAAAGGTTCCAGCCTCGGACGAGGGCCAGCTGCCGGAGCACCCTGGGAAATGGGGTCTGAGCAAAAGAAACAACGTGAGTCTGTCCTCCGACCCCGTGGCAGCCCGTGCTTTCTCCCACGGTGCCGCCTCAGAACTGGACCCCCCACGGCCCCCTGCGGCAGCCCTGGCCGAGGAGCACCAACCCACCCCCTCAGGCTGGTGGAGGTGAGCTACTTGATAGGAAACCCTTGGCCCACTTGAGGAAAATGTCAGAATGCTCTGCTCACCCTGATAGCAGCAGGTTCTTTTGGGGTTTTCTGAATGAAATCAAGAGCACACAGCTGCTCCCTGTCAGTGGCCCTCCCCATCCCCGCCCACCCAAGCTCAGGGGAGAGCCCCACACCCTGGGCCCGACTCCCCACACGCCCGGGCCGGGAGTCTGTCCACAGCTCCGCAGTCCCGCTGGCCACACAGGCGCTGCGGTTGCCCTGCGTCCCCTGCCCGTCCCCAGGCTGCGTCAGGCTCACACACAAGCCAGGACACATTGTTCTCCAGTCAAAGTAGAGCTTTGAAAACCCACCCACCCCTCTCTGTCAGAGAAGGAGGAAGAAGGGCTAAGTCATGCGGACTCAGTATTCACCGTTCTGCTCCTTTAATCGCCTGGTGAGTGCATCATTGCGTCTGTGTGTAGCTTCTCAACTCCAACTTCACTGCACAAAACCGACACACATGCATGTCCCTCCACCGGGTTCTGAGTATTGTGAATACGTAGGCAGTGTGTGTCTGTGCTGCATGTTCTTATGCAATGCCAGTCAGCTTCTAACCATGGTCACTTAGAAATTAAATATCTATCTGTGAACAAAAGAAACTGCACAGCAGGCACCCAGGAGACAGGCCGCGTTCCGAGGGGAGGATACCCCAGGAGACAGGCCGCGTTCCGAGGGGAGGACACCCGGGAGACGGGATGCGTTCCGAGGGGAGGACACCCGGGAGACGGGATGCGTTCCGAGGGGAGGACACCCGGGAGACGGGATGCGTTCCGAGGGGAGGACACCCGGGAGACGGGATGCGTTCCGAGGGGAGGACACCCGGGAGACGGGATGCGTTCCGAGGGGAGGACACCCGGGAGACGGGATGCGTTCCGAGGGGAGGACACCCGGGAGACGGGATGCGTTCCGAGGGGAGGACACCCGGGAGACGGGATGCGTTCCGAGGGGAGGACACCCGGGAGACGGGATGCGTTCCGAGGGGAGGACACCCGGGAGACGGGATGCGTTCCGAGGCGAGGACACCGGGAGACGGGATGCGTTCCGAGGGGAGGACACCGGGAGACGGGATGCGTTCCCAGGGGAGGACACCGGGAGACGGGATGCGTTCCGAGGGGAGGACACCGGGAGACGGGATGCGTTCCGAGGGGAGGACACCGGGAGACGGGATGCGTTCCCAGGGGAGGACACCCGGGAGACGGGATGCGTTCCGAGGGGAGGACACCGGGAGACGGGATGCGTTCCCAGGGGAGGACACCCGGGAGACGGGATGCGTTCCGAGGGGAGGACACCCGGGAGACGGGATGCGTTCCGAGGGGAGGCCAGTGCAACAGTGTCTGAACATCAGCAGAGAACAGAAGGAGTGCATTTGAGAACACTGATTATACCGGAATACTTATTTATTTCTATTTAACACAACTGGGCAGTAGTCAGGAATAGAGTTAGCTTTACCAAAACTGAAGTTCAAATTACATAATTTTAAAATATTATAGTAAGATATATATTTATACTGGAGTATTTTTACACCTTTAATATTCTCGGGCTTGAGTTTTGAGACAGGTGAAAATTACAGCAGATGCTGACCCGTCGGGGAAAGGTCCATGGAGGCCTTCCACTGGCATGGCTCGCTGCCTGTCTGTGCTCCTCGCCGCTGTGTCCCAGTGGCTGAGAGCTCCGGGCAGGCCAGTGGCCGTCTGACCGTCTGAGTGGACAGAGACCGTGGCAGCAGGCAGAGGCTCACCAACCCCCGGGGCCAGTACAATCGCCTATTTCTGTGAATAGTTTTAATGGGACAGGCCACACCCGTGTGCTTATATTATATACTGTCTGTGGCTGCTTTTGCAGCGACATTGGCACTTGGGGAGTTGACACAGATGCCATGACCCATGAAACCTAAAATATTCACCATCTGGCCCTTGACAGGTGAGCCCTTGAGGACCCACTTGTGTTCATTCCCTCCTGGGTATTTATACACAAGCTGGCTACTCCCTGTCCTGCAGCACACACCGTATGGGGGCACCCTGTTGTCACCTGTTCAATACAGTACAGGTTGACAATTTAGCTGTACTGTGAAATGATTACCCTGAGTAGTTTCCTTCCACTGATTTACCACTGAACACTCTATGAAATCTGGTGGTCCAGGGGCCTGGCCTTTGTCTGTGAGCACGTGGAGAGCGTGGCCGGGTGGTGGCGTGCCAGGCAGTGGTCACTGTGTTTGGAGATGCTTTAGTTAACGCTCTCTCTTCCTTTAGACTTTTGAAAAACCAAACCAAGCCAAACAAAGGAAACCTGCACAACTTAAAATAAACTTGAAAGTGATCATATACTACTAGTTTGTACTAAGTTTTTTCAGGAAAGGGAAATAAAATTTATATATACATGCAATATATTTTTACACCATCTTATTGTTAGGGAGTACTGAGTGTATCACTTTATCAGAGTGATGGGTACAGTCACGTCAATGTCCTGGGTGTTCTGCCTCAGAAAGTCTAAATGGCATTCAGCAGGAACATCCGTGGGGTTGGGAGGGCCCTGCTCCCCCTCCCTCGGAGTGCGAGGCTTGGGGTCACCTCTGGGGATGCTGTCAAGGCCTGGCCTGCAAACCTTTAGTGAAACAGCTAATGTCTGTCTGCACAATGCTCCTCATGTGTTCGCTGTTGTTAACATTGTTGTCAAAAGTGATAAATAAAGTGTTAAATGGTGGATCTCTTATCCTCAAAGTGTATGGTCTGGACCGGCAATAACATGGGCACCAACATCTAACATGGGACAGGCCCTAGGAGGGGTCCTGGGAGGGGGTGCAGAGCCATGACTTCCAGGGCAGAGAGCCTCCTGTCCCTCACCCAAGAGAGAGCCTTTCACTCCTCACTTAGGTGATCACTGACTCAACCCTGTGCTATGTCAGAGATTTTTACATTAGCAAATTTTGTAATTAACCACATTAACAATAAATAAGCTTAAAAATGATCTGATGACAAGAAATTCCACCCACATACTTTTGGTATAACACATTTTCCGGCTAAGTATAAAAAGTGGTGCTTCTGGACACAACCGTGACCGGACAGGTGAATGGAAGGACACCTGAAGCCCAGAGACCCCTCTATGGGGGAGACTCGATGCCCCCCGATTTCCCCAGAGTCCTGACCCACACAGCTACACACAGCATCTTCTCCGAGGCCCGTTCTTCTTCCTCAATCAATTAAACATTGTTCTAAAAAATTACTTTGTTTTATCAAAGAAAGCGAATATTACATAAGATATAAAGTTTTCAAACTAAAAAATCTAATTTTATGCCTTGTTCTGACATAATTTTCAGAAATACACTGTAAGCAAGAGAGCCAGAGCATGGGTAGATATTTGTACTGTAGGATGTTAATATCACAAAACGTTTTTATTTTTTATGTTTCCCACACTATAAATATTACTTTTATTAAGTCCTGGAACTTACTTTTTTCTGCTCACCAACCATGGTACATAGCTTGTTTTATAAAATAATTCAATGATAAAATCAGTTATAATTTATGAAGAGCCACTTTTTAGAACAACGTATTAATTTATTAAATAAGAACTGCTTATTATACAATAAATTATTTTCTTTAATCATCATACATAGTTCTCTTTTACATTAGGCAGAAAAACGCAAGATTTTTTTTTTATCTTAAGACATTTGATGAAAAATTAACAAACTGTTTGTCTTAAAATATGTCAGTGTTTTGTCTCAAAACATGTGAAGGGCCTGGATTAATCCTGTCTTTTTAGAATGTCTTAGCAAACTGAACTGTGGGCCCTGATTACATTTCAGAAATCACAAGATAACTGCAAACAGAAGAACCAACTCTCATCAACAACTACACCAGGTAAAGAAAACACGTGCAGGCCACACTAGGACGGTCAGGTTTAGGAGCAGCCACTGAGGCGGGTGCTGCCGACGGGGAACAGGGCCATGGTCTTCTTGAGCTCCTTGTAGCTCCAGTGTAGCTGCTCCACCTCGGCCCTGTGCTGAGCCCGCACCTGGCCCAGCTCCTGCAGGAGGTGCTCATTGGTGCTGACCAGGGAACTGGAGAGAACACAGGGCAGCCATGTCCCGGCTCTGCTGCTGTCCTCTCCAGCAGCACTCTCTCTCACCCGGCCAAGCCTGCCTGTTGACCCCACATGCCCCAGCCATGCCCAGGCCCACGAACTTGTCCCCTCCTGATCTCTCCTGGTGACTACCCATCTGCCCCTTGCCTCCAGACCAGGGGGGCGGGCAAGTCTGACTCAACCCCTCAGCCATCACCTGCTCTGCAAGCACTGGCGGCATCCATGAAATGGATCCAACTCAGCATGGATAGATGGATCCCTCAATGCTCTGGCCATGCATGGTTTACTGAAAAGACTTGTCATCGTCTATGGCCAGCAAAACAATGTTCTAATTCTAGAAAAGACTCCACACTGAAGTATTTCTAATTCCCAGTCAAATATAAAGGACCCTTTAAAAAATCCTGACATTGTATCAGTGTAACAGTACAATTGAAAAGTCCTCATTTTTAAATATTGTTAACCATTTTTAATTATAGAGGGGACTTCAGAAAGAAAGTGGTGTTGTATTTTGCCAAAGTGCACTACTCACTTGGTCAGCAATGACTCAAGCACATTTGTGGCATCACAAGAAATGGGCAAAAGCAGGGCCATTTTCTCCACACAGGTCTCCCCACTGACACCCCCCATGCAGGTGGCAGCCCTGTTTGCTTAGACCACAGAAACAGCCACTGGCCCGGCAGAGGCTCAGAGTGGACACCTCCTGGTGAACCCCACTCCACTGCACTTAGAGGCTCTGCACCCTGCCTTGTCCACATTAATCCCATGGTGCCAATACCTTGTGACCTGCCCCAGATGGGCCATAGGGCTCCAGGGAGTGATCTTGCCTTGCCTGTCACTTCCCTGTACCGTGACTGTGTCTCATTTCCTTCCTTCTGCTGCTCCATCTAGTCTCAGTTTAGTCCCACCTCTCAGGGAACACAGACCCGCATCATCACTCACCATCACGCACATGCCCCTCACCTCTCAGAATACTGCAGCAGAAAGAAAAGCTCATGGAAGTGCCAAGTCAGCACAGCAACACATGCAGGCCCAGAACACTGGCCACCAGCAGCTGCTGCTCCTGCACCCTCCACTGCTCAGCTCCACAGCCCTCACCCCCACCCCACCCCGGAACCTGTGGCTCTCCTGCAACATCTGTGTGAGCTCCTGGACCCTCCCTTGCCTCGGCTCCACGCCTCACTCCCCTCCCCGCCCGCACCTGTGGCTCTCCTGCAGCATCTGCGTGAGCTCCTGGACCTTGTCGTAATGTTCAAGGTGCTGCTTCAACTCCACAATTTCACCCGAGAGCCTCTTCACATTTGTTTGAAGCCCTGATAAAGAAAATAGGTAGTACTATTTAGTGAAATTCATTTAGACATTTGGAACATTAAAACAATTCGAGTTTAAACTGGACCTGGGACACAAGAAAAAGAATATAGCTTAGAAAAGATCAATTTTTGTAAGGAACTCAAAGGCAGGGGTGAACACATCCAGCCATGTCTACCCCAGGACCCAGTTCTGGCTCCCTCCTGGGGCTGGAGCTGCGGGGATCTGCCCTGCAGATATCCCTGAGGAACCCACCCCTGTGTCGAGTGATGACAGAGGTGGGCCTCAGGGCCTCTTTTCCACAGAGCATCAAGCTCTGGCAAGCGGAGGACTGAGGCTTTCAGGAGAAGCAACTGCCAGCCATTGGAAGCCCAGTGTGGCCACAGGTCTCTGGCCCCATGTCCAGCCATGACAGAGCATGTGCCTGTATTCCATCTATAGGGTGTTGCCTCTCTTTGGGTTTCCTTCTCAAGGCAGGAGGGGGCGGGGGAGAAATTTACTATTTATTGGCTCCTAAATCCAAACCGAGGATAACCAGGACACAGTAACTCCACATGTAGACATGCCACTGCCAAACCACACGACTGACACTGAGAAAGCCAGTACAGTGCGGGAAGGTAATGGCAAAGGGATGCCAACAGTGACAGCGGGTCCTCACAAAGATCACCCCAGCAATGGAGGGCGTCCTCCTGCACTTGGACAAGAAAACCTTACTCAGAATCTGTGTCCAGCCAAACCTCCCTGGAGGGCATGCTGAGCCTCTGGGAAGAGGGCAGTGGTGGCATGGGCCAGAGCTCAGTACCCTACACTAGTTGACGCCAAGAGTAACTAGATGACAAGACCAGAACCCCACAGACAACACTATAGCACCTGGAGACCAGGTAGCCTCAAGACCCCTAACGAGGCAGCCACAGCCCTGCATGGTATCCACGTCTGGGTGGGTGCACTCAGCAGTGGGGCAGCTGACCTGAGGACGGAGCACCTCCAAGTGTCCCGTTTTCCTGGGAAATCCTCGTAGGCTAACTAGGTAACGGCTGGCATGAGGGGTTCAGCCTCCTCTAATGTGATGAACCCAGGGGTGGAGTGGAGGTGTCCTGTGTGGTCTGAAGGGGCTGGAGCAACCCATGACCCCTTGGGGCTGACCTGCCTAGTCCCTCCTAGAACAGGGCCATTCTGCAGAGAAACAGATGAGGCGTCCAGGACAAAGGAGGCCACCATATTTATCTGTGAAGTTAGAGAAGCTGTCTGCCCTGCTCCTTCTAGAAATTCAGAACAGACTTCACTTCACCATGAACAATAGAGACGTACTGAGGTCAAACCCCACAAAAGTTATGGTATGAGCACAACAAAAGCCACACCCAGAACACATCAAAACCACAACGGTTTCAGAATGAACTAAGTCAGAATCAGACAATGTTAGAAAGGGGGTGGCTGAGCTCAGGCAAGAAGGCAAAATGAAGGCTGAACTAGAAGGAACCCAAGAGCAGTGAACATGCCAATGACATCTCAAAGAAACAGAAGGTACAAAGGGGGAAGTTTTAAAATAAAAATTCAGCCCTAGTCAGTGTGGCTCAGTTAGTTGGGCATCGTCCAGTGCACCAGGAGGCTGCTGGCTAGATTCCTGGTCAAGGGCACATGCCAGGATTGCGGGCTCTATCCCTGGTGGGAGGCGTGCAAGAGGCAGCTGATCCATATTGTGTTCTTGCATTGATGTTTCTCTCCCTCTCCCTTCCTCTCTCTCTACTATTCTTTAAGAAGAATTTTAAAAAGAGAAGACTGTAAACAACTCTCACCACTCAATAAACTAGCCCAGTAAACACAACGGGCAAGGACAGACCAGGGCAACTCTCTGTGGCTGCATTCATGTGACAAAGGCCACAGAAAGTACTTGGGACAGTAGCTTGAAATAGCTACTATCTGGATCGTTAAATAAAAGCTTTTGGATCCCTGAGAGGTGAGAATGGGAAAAGATGCTCAACCTGTCCTTCTTCAGTGAAATTAAAACTTTCAAGAGACCCCATTCCACCCAGAGAAAGTTACCATGGAAAACAGATACCACCAACACCTCCTCATTCTAAAGCCCAGTATCTGAACCTGAGATATTGAGAGTGGGCTTTTGTAAAATGGCAAAACAGAATCAAAGAAGTGGAGAGAGGAAAATGAAAATGATCTGGGTCTGGAAGGTACAGCGATCAAGGAGAAAGGCCACTGCGCCTGCTGGGGACAGACAAGGCTGAGCAGAAGGCTAGTACCCTGCACACGCCAGGGGCAGACAGGCTGGCACCACGGTCCATGGTGCCACAGCCACGGGATGATCCCTGAGCTCCTAAGGAGTCAAAGGACTGGAGCAGTGAGGACCTGTCGGAGCCCACAGGGGAGGCGCCTCTCCCTCAGGCACAGCTCTCCTTCCATGTACACCTGAGCGTGCCATGGGCAAGCATGCGCATCATTCATGAGCCAAGGCAACTCAGACTAACCAAGGGTGTGGGCTCCAATACCCATTTTACATTATTTGCTGGTTCTTAATTCTGGTAATAATTTAAAATAAGCCTCATGAGTGTTTGAACACGTACATTTCACCAAGTAGTGGTCCCAAACAGATCATAAACTCACCAGTGATCTGCAAGTTTAACGCAGCTGAAGCATCTGCATTTTTTACTTCTCTTTTCATGCTGCACAAGAGCGACTTTAAGCTACTATTCTCCTCCAAAGACCTGTCTAAATGTTGCCTCAAGTCATCCTAAGGTCACAGAACAATACATTTTAAAATGACAAGTCAATTTCAACAAGATGCACACAGAAAATTAAATAAAATCCTTTGAAATAACCAGATAGTGGTTTCCTTTTACGTATCAGAATTCTGAATCACAGTGTGAAAAGCTGTACAGTCACTTGTCACATAACAACAGAGATATGTTCTGAGAAATGCGTTATTTCATCATTTTGTGTACACAAACCAAGATGGGACAGCCCACTGTACACTGGCTACAAGCCTGTACAGCATGTTACTGTACTGGATAATGCAGGCAATGGTATCATATGGTAAGTATTTGTGGGTCTAAACATACCTAAACACAAAAAAGGCCCAGTAAAATAAGGTATAAAAGAGAAAACATGGGCCCTAGCTGGTTTGGCTCCGTGCACCAAAGGGTCCCAGGTTCAATTCCGGTCAAGGGCACATGCCCAGGGTTGTGGGTTCGATCCCCAGTGGGGAGCATGCAGGAGGCAGCCAATCAATGAGTCTCTCTTATCATTGATGTGTCTACCTCTCCCTCTCCCTGCCTCTCTGAAATCAATAAAGATATATTTTTAAAAAAGAGAAAACATGGTATGCATGTGTAGGGCACTTACCATGAACCGAGCCTGCAGGACTGGAAGTTGCTGTGGTGAGTCAGTAAGTGAGTGGTTAATGATGGCCTAAGACATTATTGTACACAACTGTAGACTTTATAAACACAGTACATTAGGCTACACTAATTTACAAAAAATACTTTTCCTTAAATAGTATATTAACCTTAACTTACTATAACTTTTTTACTTTATAAACTTAAATTTTTTAAAACTTTTTTACTCATAACACTTAGCTTAAAACACACACTATACAGCTATACAAAAATGTTTTTTTAATATCCTTATTCTATAGATCTTTTTGCAAAAAATGTTTTGTTTTTTTATTAATCTTTTTTGTTAAAAACTGCGACACAAACTCTCACATTAGGCCCACACAGGGTCAGGATCACCAGTATCACTGTTGTCCACCTCCACATCTTGTCCCACACAGTCTGCAGGGAAGTAACAGGCATGGAGCTGTCATGTCCTGCGATAACAATGCCTTCTTCTGGAACACCTCCTGAAGGACCTGCCTGAGGCTCTACTTGAGACATCACTCTTTGTAGAAGTATGACCATGGTGGTTTGCTCAGCCTGCTTCCTTTTTCTATCATAATTTGCTTGTAAGCAGACAATGCACCACGAGCATTCTATTAATGAAAAAGTTTTGGTGTTGAGGCCCATGTTTTCTAACCTTTTAAGGAGCTTGTTGAGGTCTGTAAAAGCTTCTGCTTAACCCTGCACTGTGAATTTTCTTGGGGGTTCTTCATCTTCTGCAGCTTCCTTTTCTCTTGCTTCTTCTTCAGCTATGCATTCCTGTTCCTGTTCCAACAACTCCTCAGTAGTCGGTTCCACAGCACCACCTTTAGGAGCTCCCCAATGTCAACCGCAGGCACACCCTGGTTAAAGCCGTTGCCCATATCACCACAGCCCTGGTGATTTTTACAACTTTTGTGCTATGACGTCAGGGCAGCTATGACATCACTAGGTGATAGGAACTTTTCAGCTTCATTATAATCTTATGGAATCACTGTCATATGTGCAATTGACTGAAATGTCGTCGTGTGGCACATGACTGTAAGCATGCATCTTCCCTGTCAGCAGAGAGGACAGGAAAAGGGGTAGTCCACCTTACAAGGGAGCACCCACCTTCCCCATGTTCCCTGGGGAGGGGTGTGCTTCCCATGTTCGCTAGTGAGGGGTGTGCTTCAACAGGAGCCACAGCGCTGGTGCTGAGGGGAACAGATGTAGTGGCTGGCTACTCAAGCCCTACCTCCTCCAAGAAGGCCCCATGGTCGCCACAGCAAAAGTACAGGCAGAACCCAGGCCTTTATGGTCCACCTGGGCAGGTAGCCTCCAACTTTTTACTATCCCATATAGAAGTGAGATCATGCAGTTTGCTCTGCCTGACTTTCTTCACTTAACCCGAGGTCCATCCATGTTGTTGCAGGATTTCCTTTTTAAAAAAAGGCTGAATTCATGTTGTAGATACATATGTTCTTTATCTACCTATTTTGTGAAGTTATTTTTCTTAATCATGAATTAACGTTGAACTTTGTCAAATGCTTTTTCTACATCCATTGAGATGATTGTGTGGTTTTTATCCTTCAGTCTGTTAATGTGGTATGTTAATTTGCATATGTTAAACCAGCCTTGCATTCCAGGGGAAAATCCCATTTGATCACGGTGAATAATCTTCTTGATGTAATGCTGAATTCAGTTCTCTAGTATTTTATTGAGGGTTTTACACTTGTGTTCATCAAACATATTGGCCTGTAGTTTTCTTTCTTGTGGTATCTGTCTGGCTTTGAAATCAGGTGATGCTGCTTCATAAAATGAGTTTGAGAGTTTTAGCTCTACTTCTATTTTTTGGAAGAGTTTAAGAAGATTCAGTATTAATTCTTCTTTCAATATTTGGTAGAACTCAGACGTGAAGCCATCTGGTCCAGGGCTTTTCTTCTTTGGGAGCTTTTTGATTACTGCTCAATCTCCTTATTTGTTATTGGTCTGTTCAGGTTTTATTTCCTCTTGATATAATTGTGGTAGGTTGCATGTTTCTAGGAATTTATCCATTTCTTCTAGGTTACCTAATGTGTTTGCATATAATCATTCATAATAGTCCTTTCTGATTTTTACTTATTTCTGAGGCATATATTGTAATGTCTCCTCTTTCATTTCTGATTTTGATTCTTCTCTTTTACTTTTCTTAGTCTAGCTAGGGGTTTGTTGATTTTGTATATATATTTTTTCAAAAACCCAACTCAGTTTTGTTGATTTTTTTCTATTGCTTTTCTATTTTCTATTTCTGCTCTGATCTTTATTTTCTTCCTTCTGTCAACTTTGGGTTTACTTTGTTTTTCTTTTCTAGTTCTATAAGGTTTAAATTTAGGTTGTAAATTTGAGATCTTTCTTCTTTTTTAATGTAGACATTTATGTGTGATGGTCTTATGGTGAGGTTACAAAGGACAAGGGCATCCCTAACCGCCAAGAGTCTTAGGCTCAGCTAGTAGGCCCAGCTGTGCTGGCTCTGTTGCCCTTTGGTGCCACCTGGTGGTGGAAATTCCCTCAAGTCCAATAGTGCCGGGAGCCGGTCCATCCTTGCTGTTCTCAAGGGACCTGGCATATATGGCATACTGTTCTTAATATGTTTGCTCACCTTCTTGGCACTATGTGTTTTAACCAAGGTCACCTCTCTGAGAAAGGTTGTCTCCCCAGGTAGGGATTTTCCCCTGAAGTTAGGGAGGGAATAAAACCCCTTAACTAAGTGCCAGGCGGGTAATTAATCACTTTAACTACGAACAATCACAATTAAGCTACATAATCTTTACTCCCTGGAATGGAGATAAGAAACGCCCTAACCTTTGGAATAGAGATTGATAGGATTGGAATCAACTGGTATAAATACAGATGTAACAAGACAACAGGACACAGAACCTAGACACAGAACCTAGACACAGAACCTACACAGAACCTAGAGACAGAAGAACTTCGCTGGAGAGAACATGGCAAAAGATCCTGGACAGAAACTGGACACAGAACCTAGAGACAGAAGAACTTCGCTGGAGAGAACATGGCACAAGATCCTGGACAGAAACTGGACACAGAACCTAGCGAGAGAACCTGGCTGAAGAACCTAGAGACAGAACCTGGCTGGAGAACCTAGCGAGGGAACATGGCTACAGAACCTGGCTGGAGAACCTGGAGAACCTGGCTGGAGAACCTAGCAAGAGAACATGGACACAGAACCTGGCTGGAGATCCTAACCAGAACTTTGCTGGAGATCCTGACCAGAACTTGGCTGGAGATCCTGGCTAGGCTGCTGATCAACTGAACGCTGTCTCTGTCATTCCTTCTTCGCCGACTCCATCCACACCTTTGGGGACCCCTGGACCTGCTGGGGCTGGACCCCAGCACAATAGGACACCTGGGGTCCTATGACTATTGCAAGCAGGACAGGAGCAGGAACCCTAGATCACACAGCTAACTGGAACCTCTCTCCTCAGAGGTCTGGGGAACCTGGGCCAGGGAACATGGGGCCACAAACCCCCCACTTTAAGCCCAGCTTCATCTTCTCTTGTCTCTCCCACTCACCCTCTCTCAGAAGAGAAGGCAACCAGTCAAAAGAGGTAGAGCTGGGAGAAGTGGCGATGCTTCCATCTGCAAATTGCTGTTGCTGTGGGGTCTGGGAGTGATACAAAGTCAGGCCAGAGTCCCCCCAGGTGGGGAAAGCCTGTGGGGAGGGTTTGTGATCCTGGAAGGGAAGAGGAGCCCCAGTGCTATAGCCCAGCAGCAGCTAAGGGGAAGTGCAGAATGGAGAATCTCCCCTCATTCTGTGAAGTCAAAACAATGTTTTTGCCCCATCTGTGAAAAGGAAACGCAAGGGTGTGGCTCACCATCTCTTTCCGAGTATTATTGAGCTCCGACACAACCTCACTCATCTTCTCACTATATTGCTGCTGTTGTTCAACAAGGTGATTTTGTAAAGATTTATTTTCAAGAGTCAGGTAGTTAATTTCTTCACTCGTAGTTGTCGAACTGTCCTGAGTTGCTGTAAAATCTTGAACAGATGACAAAACATGTCTTGCCTGAGCTAGAAGTAAAAATCAAGTATTATTATTGCATTTATGCCAAAAGAATGTGTAAACAAAATATGTTCAATACATTTTGAATAACACACACTACATGCCTTAAAAACACAGATAGGCATGGGGACTGGCAAAGGGACGAAGGTACCACTGACATTACCTTCACTCAGGCTGTTTTACATCCAGTCAAGCATGGGAGGCAGAAAAGAGCAGAAAAAAAGTTTTGTTCTTGAGAAAAGGTACCCCTCAGGAGAAGGCTACCACTAGGATGATTGGGCCGAATGCCCTAGCAGCCCACCACACTCTCTTCAACAGCCCTGCTGCTACCCCGAGAGGGTATAGATTTATGGGATCAGCATTCTTGGGGCACCCTGATTCTGAAATGCTCACGAGTCTCTGGTGTGGCTAGGATGGCAGCTTCAAGCAGGGCCCAGGGTCTCCCTGAAAGGAGAGAGCTGGCAGGTCCCCACTCCCAGTGGGACACTGAACATTGCACCACAGACTGAGGAGAGAGGTGTCTCACTGGGGATGCAGCACCCTGTTTCACATTCTGACTCTGGGTGACGGGACCCCAATGTGCTCTTGCACCCAGGCATCAGATGAGAGCAAACCAAAGTCCTCTCAGCGGAGGGGCCATCCTCCTGGACCTCAGTCATTTCCATCAAAGTTTAATTTCCATCAAAATCTTGGCAAATACCAGTTCGAAGAAGACAGTAGCAGCTTTTTAACCTCTCCAAATCCCCACATGAAAACATAGCCACAGAACCAAATACCTGTGAATGGCACTTCCAACAAAACCAGGCAATGATGCATCTCCCCAAACACCAGAGTCAGTGGCTGGGAAAACCAAAAGCTACACCTTAGGGGAGCCCCCAGTTACTGAGAGGACACTGTCAGGGTGCTCCCTGCAGTGCAGCCACAGTGACAGCTGATGAGGAGGTTGCAGCATGTGAGGAACCCAGAACCCCATGGGAGAACAAGTACCCACTAACACAATGCTACCCAATGAGGTGATTGTCCCTTCCCAACTCACCCAGGAACACCTCGTTGCTATGCAGGGACTTGCAGCCACTCCAGTACCTGTCCACCAGGTCGAGGAGTGATTCTAGGAGCGCCACCCCCATGGTGGCCTTCCCAGGTGGCACAGCTGAGAGGAGTTTGGGAGACACCTGCAATGGAAACAAAACCATGACACAGGATTTCAGTTCCTGAAACACAAGGCTCCTAACACCATATGCCAAGGGAGGACTGCTTGGCCCAAGTTCACACCAGGGGCGGGACAGCCCATCTCTATATATAAAAGCCCAAGTGATTGTTAAGACTGAACGACAGGAATGACTGGAACGACCAGAACAACCGGTTGCCCAGTCGCTATGACATGCACTGACCACCAGGGGGCAGATGCTCAACGCAGGAGCTGCCCCCTGGTGGTCAGTGAGCTCCCACAGCCAACCTCCCGTGGCCAGCCAACTCCTGCAGCCCTTCCCCCTGGCTGGCCGGCCCTCCTGATAGGCCCCAATTGGGGGGCCGGTCAGCCAACCTCCCAAGGTCCCTCCCCCCAGCTGGCTGACCCCCCAATAGGCCTCGACTGACGGCCAGGCCAAGGGACCACACTTGTGCATGAATTCATGCACCAGACCTCTAGTATCCTATAACTGGTCAGCATGGTAGCACTAAGGCCTGGCACCTTGCTGCCTAGAACTGAGGCTGAGACCAGCCCAGTGAGTGTTCCGCACAAGCACCTCCATCAGAAGCTGAATCCAGACACTGGGCCAGGGTGACAGGCATGAGTACAGAGCCAAGGTCTTCAGGGTGGACACAGTGCAGTCACACACATGAGGAGCACGGGCTGTGCCCTTTCCATAAGGACGACCACCATGAGGTCATAGCTGAGCCGAGAGGAGAGGGAGCCCTGGGCAGCACCCCCTCCTATAAAGTCCCAGCCCCACAGCGAGTATGCAAGTCTGCGACGCAGCTCTGCCCCTGGTGCTGTCCCCTGGCAGACAGGAAAGGTCTGAACACATCCCATTTTCCTTCCTTCCCTCAACCCAGACAGTGACAGACTGCATGTAAGAATGGATGACAGCAGGCCCTCTGTAAAAGCACACTGACCCACAGCCTGCAGTGACCAGCTGGGAAGCCAGCCTGCTATATCTGGGTCCCAATGCATGGAAGCACCTTTCTAGCAAAATAAAGAGGTGACAAACACCAAGGAAAAGTGCATTTAAGAGCTGTATTTATCTTGGGATCACAGTTAATGCTGAAAATAGAAGACATGGTGTTACCAAAGACAGCAGCCCCTCAACTAGAACATCCAGTCACCCTCAGCTCTCTGCTCACCTCCCTGGCGCCACTCGTGCTGTGGGGCCTCTGCTCTTCAGACTCGGACGCCTCCAGGTGAGAACAGGTCCTTTCGCTCCTGCTCCTGCTCTCAGAGCCGTTCTGCCTGCTCAGACTCTCCTCCAGGCAGCTGAGACATTCCTGGTCTGCAGGCGCCTGGAATCTCCCTCCAGGCATTCTCCGCTTCCTGTACTTTTCAAGACCAGGCAAAGGATTTAACACCTTTTGTGTTGACAAACTAGTCGTCTGAGAAGTGGAGGTTGAGTTCTCAACGTCTATGCAGTCTATAACAGAGGGGAGAACACAACCCTCATCAGACCAAGTTCTCTGGGCACAGGGGTACCGGTGCATGCACTGTGTGTGTGTGTATGCATGTGTGCACATACGGAAAATCCATCAGAGTGACAAGACTGAAGTAATAACTTTAACAAATTAATTGACAGATGATTATATGTTTTCTTGCCAGAATTATGTATAACAAAGATGAGTAAAAACCTAAAATTTTGGAAATTAGAAGAGGACTCAACAATTTGTTCCTTTAGGAGATTCTGTTAACTTTAGTACCTGGGACCCTCCCTACCTCAGGGGACATGGCCCTACATCTGCTGACAAAGAGAGTGTGTGCGTACATACATAAGGACACACATACATCTATACATGCACACATGTACATGCACACACAGAAACATGCACATACACATGTACACAGGGCGGGGCAAGCGTACAACAGAGCAAATGTGGTCAGTGCTGACTTTGGGGGTCTGGATGATGTAGATATGAAACTTCCTTATTCTGCCGTGGCAGCCTTTCTGTGTTCACTCTGGGAATTCACAAGGACTACAGGTCAATAAAGAGGTCTAAAGGTCAAGCACATGCACCTTGTGAACAAAGGTGAAATGATGAATTCTGACCATCAACAGAAATGGAGGTCTTGTGCACCCATACACCACAGCATCATTATGAAGCCTCAGGATATAAAGTAAAAGCAACCAGGACAATGAAAATAGAGAATATAATAGGGTGTGTGTTACCTGCCACAGGCAACCTGGGCAGGTCATCACCACAACCCACCCCAACTCTGAAGAACTCACCTGAACAAGCCTCAGGAAGGCGCTAGGTTCACTCATATTGGGAAGTTTTCTGACATTTTTGTCACATGTGTGCACACAACACTCTCAATTAACTTATTAATTTTCTTCATCATTGATTTTTAAAATACAGCTATTGTCATAACTTGGGCCCGTGCAGTTATAAGAAATTGTATGTGTGTGAGTGAGAGAAAGGGAGAGGGAGAAAAAGTATGTGTGTATGGTGTGTGTGTGTGTGTGTGTGTGTGTGTGTGTGTGTGTAGAGAAAAGCAACAAAGAACTCCCAAACTAGGAATCTGAAATATGAATATTCTAAATTTTTTTATCCTTACCCAAGGATATGTTTCCATTGATTTTTAGAGAAGGAAGGGGGAGAGAGAGAGAGAAGGGGGGGTGGGGGGGAGTGGGGGAAGAAATATTGATGCAAGAAACATCGATCGGCTGTCTCTCACATGCACCCTGATGGGGAATCGTAGGAAGGGACGCTCCAACCAACTGAACCACCCGGCCAGGGTGGTTGTATTCTAAATTTCAATGTATAAGGTTCTTTCCTAAGACATTTTAGAAAGCTCCACAAACAAATAAAGAAAGAGAATAGGAGAAATAGACATGATTAAGAAGGAGTCAACAGCAGTTGTTGCATGAGATTACCTGGGTGAGGGAGGAAGTGCACATGATGTCCGAAGGAGCAGCAGGCCTCGGGCTGGTCTCCCTGCTGGGGTGGGAGCTCTCCACAGTACTGGTTCTGAAGCCTCTTTTCTGGACAACATCCTCTGGAGCTGCTTTTTCTCTTCTCGTGGCCCTTCTTTATGGAGTCCCCACACTGGTGCTGGACTAAGTGAGGACTCAATAGATGTCTGGATTCTATTTTATTAAAGAACATTTTAAAAGTTTTAGTTCATTAAAAATTACATTTTAAGCTTCTGGCAGTGTATTATATCTATTAAGCGTATCAATTAAATAAGAAAAAGATGACTGAGTGGGTTAATAATGCAACCACCAAACCTGTAGTGAGTCTAGCAGTCACTGCAAACAGTGCTAACAGGAGTCAAGACAGTGCGGCATCGATGCAAAGACAGACATGATGACAGATAAAACAGCATCCAGAGCCCAGAGAGAGACTCAGGTTAACGGAATTAACAAATGTGCCAGGGTTATTAAATGAGACAAAGGACAGTCTTTTCAACAAATGGCACTAGCACAACTGGATATATGGGGTGGGGGTGAGGGGGAGACAACCGGACCCATCGCTCACCACGGTCACAAAGCCACTCTAAGCGTGGAGGGGCACAGACCTGAGCACGGGACCTGAGGACACCTACACGTCCACAGGAGAAAATCTTCACGAGCATGGGACAGACAAAGATTTTTTTTTCAGGGCACAGAAAAAGCACAAATCATATAAAGAAAAAACTGATAAACTGGACTTTATTGAAATACAAATTAAAACCACAATTAAATATTAATATTTACTCAGAACAACAACCAGAATAAAAAAGACTGAAAATCTAAGAGCTGGCAAGGATACCCAAAGAGCAGATGTCTTTGTGCCAGCAGGTGAATCCTGGGATTTCAGCCCAAACTTACACCTCAGCCTGTTGTCGTCTTCATGAAAAGCTCTCAGAAACTCATAATGGAGGAAGAAATGGTGCTAAAGCTTATACAAAAGTCCAAGTGGGAAAGAGCCCCTGGCACAGTAATGACATTCACACATGCACTGGAAGGCTTCACAATGAGCTTGCCAGGTTTAAAGTTCTAAGCCGTCAGCCCGAGCTCTAAGTGCTCCCTGACGCTAAGGGAACACCCCCTTGTGGCTGACACAGGCGCCCGTTCCACTAGCCACAGCACATGCTATCGTCTTGCCCACTTGGACCTTTTACCTCCTCCCTACAATTGGAATTGATCTGAGGAAGAATACAATTTAAACCACCATGTAGTATATGACTATACTCGACTTAAATACATGACTTTTTTCTTTTATAATTCTGTAATCCAAATTACTGATATTTACAAGTTCGCAGGACTTCATGAAGGTTATACATTTAAAGGTAAGCTTCCTAAAAAGTACAACTGTGCCCAGAGCAAGCTGGACCCTCTGGGCTTCGGGTGGAGCAGTGTACCTTGGGAACTATGGAAGTCATCCTCTTGCTCCTTCTGGCTGGAACTTGTACTCCTAGGAGGGTTGCTCAAGTCCCACTCACACTCGGCAATGAGGTTCAGGACGGCCTCGTCATCCGCATCCATGACTAAGCCCTTCTTGGCTGAGGGGTCAGTGCACTTAACTCTGGAGCGGTGCAGCCTGCAAAGAAAAGCCACCTCAGTGCTGTTGCTCCAGCCCGAGCAGACCCTGTGCGGGGACACGAGTGCGAAGAGCTCTTGGGAAGAGCAGTTGGTGTAACTGCAGGAAATGGTTCTTGTGCCTCTACTAAAGTGAGGTCGAGGAGGGACTCAGCAGACAACTGGTAATGGAAAGCAAGGGTGTGTGATGTCATCACCCCATTCAGCATTGCAGAGTCCCACTAGGGTTTGTTCAAGAACAAAAGTATGGTGTCAGATGTGTGTGAGATTTATTGGGATGATCACTCAGTAAGTTATGTAATGTCTAATCACTGGGATGTATACCTAAAACTAAAATAATAATGTAGATCAACAGTAATAAAAAATGATAAAGTGTTAGGAAAAAAAGGAAATAAGTAAGCAAGAATTCTTTTTGTCGGGGTGGAGAGATCATTTGATTCTTCCCCTAAAAGTTGGAAATAGAAAAAAAATTTCATAAATTACTTTCAAATAAATTAATTTAATTATATAAAAATATTAACTCTCCAGCTCTTTACAAAAAAAGTTGGCTGACCTCTACATATAAGGGATTTATAAATAAGCTAAGGCATAAAATGCAAGAAGAAAAAAAAAACCTATTAAAAACTTCAGACAAAACAAAATGGTGTACAAGGAGTGAATAATCCTAGCACATTATAAGAAACGTAAACAGTCTATTGACTTTTGCCTTTAGAATCAACCATACACAAAGCATGAAGACTCTTTATGGCTTTAGAACATTTAAATACTATTGACCCTGACAATCTAAAATTAAACATAAAGATGCAGATGGCAGGAACGGGAAGGCACAGACGGGCACAGATGGGCACGTGCTTCCACAGCCCCACCAGAGCAGAGCCTTGAGCACTGGCCACAGGGCACTGAGCAGAAAATACAGGAGGGCATAGTCCACAAACTGTCACCACGGGGTGGGGTGGGGCTATGGCAGCTGTCAGGTCCTGCTTCAAGTGTGCACACCCAAAAATGGCAACTAATGTGTATTGTCCGGGGACGAGGAAGGAAGCAGAGACAATCACAGAAGTGAGCGAAAATGGCTGCTCTGAGGAGTGGGTCGGGCAGTGGGGAAAGGGGACTGTTGCTTCTCATCACAAGTCTTCTGTGCTATTTATTTTACATGTATTAGTTTAATAAACATCTTAACATTAAAAAATAATTTATAGAAAATGTGGACAACAGAGAGAGACTCCATCCCACTGTCTCCTTGAGTCCCAGCTGGTATCTGGGCATTTTTCCTTTTCCTGCATGTCTGCTCTTTCAGTGGCGATCAGAGCACAAAAACATTTACATGTGTGAGTTAATACAGAGCTTTATACCCTTTAGTCAGTCATTCTATGAATAGGTAAGCCTGAGCACCACTCGTGTCCATACCTTCCAACTCTGCAAACAGCTGGGAAGCTTTGTGTGGAGTCGAGTGATTCCTCTGAAGCAAAATGCAACTGGGATGCTTTCCGCTCGCTCTCTCTCACGGGACGGTCATCTAGGGAGAAATGCCAGAGAAACTAGCAAGCACCACCATGAAGCAGGTGCACCCTCCGGCACCCCATCCCGCCCTGCAGCGCACCACACATGACCAGGCTGCCCCCACTTGTTCCGGGCCTTCTGTCCCCTCGGGGCTGACCCCGCCACAGCGTTCCCCATAAGCCCCGAGTAGACCCAGTAAAGGGATGCTGGGCTCTGGTGGCTACATGTGGTTTCTCAGGGTTGCTGGGTGCTGATTCCAAGAGGGCTGCCCTGCTCCCACAAAGCTCACTCCTCAGACACTGCTTTGGAGGCAGGCTACTGCCGCAGGAAAAGAAATACACAGCCAAGTTCACACACGCACATCCTCCTGGGCTCCCTCCCATCAAGGTATATTTTGGATGCTGCACGAGGTCCTCGAACCACACTGAGCGCACTAAGAATCTCTGGTGTGAGGTTTCTGAACACACTGGAGAGGAGACAGCCTAGCTGTGTGTTTGGATCCTCAGGACTGGGAAACAGAGAGATAAGTGTAAACTGTCCCCACATGTGTGCTCTGGCCTGAGGCCTCTGCTCAGCAACTCCCAGTCCTGCAATGACTTTGAGTTTCAATTATGTTCCTTTTTCATGTCTGAAAATATCTTTTCCACGTGGCAAGACTCTCATTTCCCTTCTCTATACTAACATACAATTCTGAACCTAAAACTTTTATGACAAATGATTGAAGACTGAAGATTGCAAAAATTTCCCATAATAAGAATTGTAATGCTTCTGAAAAAGAGCCAAATTAAACTATTTATAAGTTACTTAAAGTCAAAAGTTAGAACAGAAGCACTTATTCCTCCCAAATATCTAAAAACTAAAATGAAACATTGAAATTCTAAGTAGGTTTGACCCTTTGGGGGTCAATTATTCATACTCACAGCCCAGCCCTGTTCCCAGGCCCAGGCCGTGCAGAGAGGGGACTAGGGGATAAGCTGACACGCACGCGCTGTTGAGATGTGCATACATTCACTCACAGTCAAGAGATGCAGAACATGGGTTTCTACAGACACTGGTTGGAAGTGACAGGACAGTGGCAGTGGTCTGCCTGCAGCTCAGTATTTACCACAGGGATAGTGGTAGAGAAATGTCTTCTCTAACAAATGCTGGTCTGATGTGGGTCTCACTTTGGTGTCATTAGGTCAGAACCCAGGAGACGGAGATGCCTCAAATGCATCCCAAGCCTCGCCGAGAAGTGAATGGGCCTGCACATTGAGGACATGCTGTGATCACTGGGGCACATGACCACACCCTTCAATCAGATATTCCTGCACCACAGCTACCCAGCACTTACCACCACCCTTCACACAAGAGACTAAGGGTGAGGCCCCCTCCCTCCCTCCCTCCCCCGTGACCTGCATGTCAGTGCATCCTGGACTCATGCTCCAGCTCTCCCCCCTTGAAGTGCGACATGAGGGAGCATCAGAAGCGCCAGTGGCCTCACTACTCGGGGCAAAGACCCCTCCTGTAGGTGGTGAGGCAGGTGGGAAGGCATTGATGTGGCTTCCCTGGGTGTGATCCTCCCAAATGGACTTGTCCAGTTGGCAACCTGCAAGCTCTGCCTGTGAGGCTGTCACAGAGATCCATTTTTTTAGAGACATGGGTTAATAAGCCTAAATGGTGGCAGTACCTGCCAACAGAACACCCTCTCTCATCCCGGTCACCTGGGGGAGGGTGCGGCACAATGAACTTCTAGTCCTGTATTTCTCCAGGTAGATGCAAAGCCAGTAGAATCCAGCTGTCCACCTGGGCCTGAGACGATGCCCAGGGGCCATGCATGGAAACAGGGCACCAGAAGTTCAGGAACAGGCCCAAGTCAAACAGCTAGACAGCGAAGCCAGAATGAGTCTGAGCAGTACAGCCCATGCCAGTGCTCCTGGTGTCCCGGCAATTATCTCTGGCCATGGGGCTCCCTGGCACCTTCCCAGGCGGCTCTCCTACAAGACCCATCCTGTAATACAGGGACTCATGCCATCAGAGTAGAAAGTAACTTCCCTTTTCAGGGAGATCAACAGTGCGATGGATCTGACAGTATCAAACACCGGTCAGGGCTCTACTGAGCAAGGGTGTGAGCACACCACACCTACCCAGCTGCCTGAGCTTCGGGAGCATGTGCACAACAAAGAGGCGGTAATCAGACTCATTCTTCACCACCGGGTTCAGTCGGAAGTCCACGTCTATGAGCTCAGTCAAGCAGTGGAGCCGGAACACTTCTGCTAGCGAGGAAATGCAGTTGTAGTAGAGATTGAGGCTTTCCAATGCAACCAGGTACTGAATGCCCTGTTAACAGGACACAAGCTGAATGAGTTTATGCTTTTTAAAAATAAACACATAGAAAAACGGGCCACCAGTAGGAAGTGATCAACCAACTTAATAAATGAACTTATAATGTTATAGGAAGAACATAAAGATGAAATGTGTTCTTGTCTATCAATTTCTGTTCTGCACGCAGTGATATGACTGTTCAGGGAGGTTCGCAACAGTTGTGACTACTAAGGACAGCTGGCAGGTACCACGCTAAATGATTTACACAAATAACTTCATCCCATTACACACAACCCTACAGGGTAAGCCCTACTACTGCTCCCATTTCACAGATTAGAAAACTGAGGATTGGAGGCTAAGAGATGAGCCAGCACTGGGTGCAACCTGGATTGTAACTCACCTCTGACTCTGAGCAGATTCCTGAGCCCCATGTCAGGAGCGCTGAAAGTACCATGATCCAGGGCAGTGATGTCCTGCCTTTCTTTCAGGCAAGAACCCCTCTCTATATACACCATTTGCCCATCACTTGGGTAACTTCTCACTCACTCATTAGGAATGAGCCCCTGCTAGGTCAGACCCCCTGCAGCAAGGCTGCAATAGTGGCCCTGCCATTCAAAGGCCTGCAGCCACCGAGAGGCAGACTATAAACAGAGGTGCAGTGCAGAAAGTGGCTGAAGAAAAACACAGCTGATACAGGGATGGAGAGTGATGTGCACACACACATAAATCTTTGGGGCTTTATTTTATTCCTTTAAAGATACAACGGTCTTCATCAGAGAGTTACAACTTTTGGCTGGTAAAGTAGTAAAGTAATAATGCGATGCATAAGAAATCTAGTTCATAGTAAACACAAGAAAAACAACCGCACACTTAAATCATTGTTAAGTATACAGTTTACAAGTATTATAGACATATGTATAAAACATTGCATTTTTAATTATAAATATAATTTCCACTGCTATTAATAGGAATAAATTTTCCTTTAAAAAACAAACTTAGCCCCACTAGAGTGGCTCAGATAGTTTAACATCATCCCATGCAACGAAAGGTTGCCGGTTCGATTCCCGGTCAAAGCAAATACCTGGATTGCAGGTTTGATCCCCAGTCCGGGAGCATACGGAGGGCAACTGACCAATGTTTCTCTTACACATTGATGTTTCTTTTTCTCTCTCTCTCTCCTTCCCCCTCCTTAAAAAAAAAAAAAAAAAAAAAAAAAGACGACACAAACCTAAAACTTACCTCCAGACTAACCAAGGAGTTGCGTGAGAGATCTAAAGATTTTAGACCTGTTAAACTCATCAAAGAATTTCCTAGGTGAGTAATCTTTTCTTGATAAGTCCCAGGAATAGATAATGACTGAAGTTCAGCTAAGAAAAGAAAATTGTGAGATTTTAACATTATTTTTTAATTGAAAATAAATCATCATAAAAGCGAGATATCATAATCTCAAAAACAAGAATTGCATATAAAGTTTCAGATTATGTTCCCCACTAAAAACGCTACACAAAAAGATATGCTCAGCCCGGCTGGCATAGCTCAGTGGGTGAGCATCACCCTGTGGACCAGGAACCAGGAGGTCACGGTTTGATTCCCGACAGGGCACATACCCTGGTTGTGGGCTTGATCCCCAATATGAGGCCAGCAGGAGACAGCTGATCAATGATCCTCTCTCACCAATGATTCTCTCTCTCACCAGAGATGTTTCTATCACTCCCTCCCTCTCCCTTCCTCTCTGAAACCAATAAAAAAAAAAATTTAAAAAAAGATATGCTCAGAAATATAAAAGACAAATCAAAATAGAAAACTAAAAATATTCAAGTAAACCACAGGGAAAGCAGGAAAAGGGAAACAACACAAGAAAAACAAAGAGAACAAACAGAAAACAAATAATAAAATGGCATAGGTAAGCCCTACTCTAGTGATAATTACATTAAGTGTAAATGGTCTAAACACACAATAAAAGACAGAGATTGTCAGAGTGCATTAAAATGAATGAACTGTTCACTATCTACAAGAAACTAATTTTAAATAAAATGATATAGGAAGGTTAAAAGATAAAATAATAAATAGGTGGGGAAAGATATGGCCTGCAAACACCGAAGTACAGCTGGAGTGGCTACACTAACATCAGATAAAGTGGATGCCTCAACAAAGAAAATAATCGGGGCACGATGTCTCGACTAAGTATTAGCTACAAGAGTCACTCCAACAAGAAGACATACAAATCCTCAATAGTCTGCAACAAATAGCACGGCTTCAACACACACGGAGTGAAACGAGAAACAGGCAAATCTACAATTACAGTTAGGTCCCCCACCCCTCCCAACCACCTCCCCCCACTTCCACCTCTCCCCGCTCAGGCCCCCATGCCCAGCCCTCCCCCTTCCCCCCTCCTTGGCACACGTGCCCCTGGGGACCCCCACCCCTCACCCCCTCGCCTGTGACCGTTCCGTCCCTGTGCCGGCCTCCCTGGCCCGATCCTGACCCTCTGGTGGGAAGCTTGCGCCCTCAGCCGCGCCCCCCGCCTGCCGGCCGGCCGGCCGCCGCCACGCACCCAGGTCGCGGTGAGGCGACAGGCCGCTCTTCTCCCAGATCTTCTCCTCGCTCAGCAACAGCCGCGGGCCCGCCGGCGCCATGCTTTCAAACGGACCGGGGCCTGCGCCTGCGCAGTTGGGCCGCTGAGGGCCCCAAGGGGTGGCCTGGGGGCGTGGTCATGATGGGACGGGCGGGGCCTCAGAGTGGGCGGGGCCAGGAGCTGGAACCCGGCGGAAAGGCGTGGCCAAGGACCAAAGCGGGCGGAGGGAATGGCTGGGCCTCTGGGAGGAGAGGGAGGGGGGGGAGGTCGGGCCACCAGCCACGGGGTTGGGTGGAGTTGGAGCCCCTCTGAGGGCGCGGGACGCGACCCCGGCCAGCTCTGCCCACGATGCCCCTGGAGTGCTGCCGCTGGCTGGGCGCGGTGCCCTCCCTAGGAAAGACCGCTTCTTGTAGGAGCCGCTCTACCTGGAGACCCGCCCACCTGGAGACCCGCCCACCGCAGGACTCTGCGGGTTCCCAGTAGCGCCGGCGTCCTGGGCGGAACCCCCGCACCTGGAGTCGTAGGTCTCTCCCGCCGTAGCCACTCGGTGGCGGCCAGTCCTCCTCCGTCTCTGTCCTCAACTTCCCGGCGATCTCTGGGGTCGGATCTAGCCCGTCACCTGCTGCCCGGAAAGCTCATGCGTGTCTGTCCCTCTGGGTCCTTGTGGGGCGTCACGAGGAACTTTTGAGATCTGAATCTGCCCCACCCAACCTGCGCCCTGAGTGCCCCTTCCTACCCCCCCTGGTTTATGGGGGCGCCCCTGCTCCCCCTCACCCCAGTTTTAAACAGCTTGTTGGTAACGTCCCCTGGCATGTCACAGCCCAGGTGGTGGGGTGCAGGGTTGGTTATGCAGGGTGCGCCGTCCTAGGCAGAGCAGAACTTCAAACCTGGCACACAGGCTCCTTGAGCACCTGTGCGAGTGATTTATTGCGACTGGCGAACACTCAGTAACACTGGGTCAAGATTGTCCTGTAACACAGTATGTCCCGATACTGCCCCGCAGTCCCCTTCCTGCAGGACTGGAGGGATTCCAGCACATCCCAGGCCAGCCGCGCTCACCACCGGCTGAGTGGAACTTGGTGCAGCCAGGAAAGTGAACAAATGTCTTTGCTTTTCAGAAGCAAACAAAGGCAGACAAAAGGCTTCTGTCGGTCCCAACCCAAGACAAGTAGCTTGTCAGGCACAGCCCACACTTCAAACAGCGGCTGCTTCCTCCTGCCCGGTCACTTCAGGTCAGGTGGCCCAGTCTTCCGGCTGAGTTGTGGCGAACAGACCTCTGCACATGTCCTGTGGGACAGCACCACACAGCCCTTCTAATGTATTGGAAGTGCCAAGAACAACTTCGAGAATCATGTTTTCTGTTACTGAAGTGTTGCATATTCATTGTAGAAAAGACAAAAAATTTCAGGAGAAAACGAAGATTAAACATTTCACTACACAGAGATGACCAGTGTTAACACTTTCACGTGGATCCTTCAGGGATGCCTTCCCAGCCTGTGTGTATTCAGCAGTGGTGAGATTATGCTGAGCATTCTCATAGATGCTTTTTTTTTTTTTTTTGCTTTTTATAAACAGTTACTAAATATTCTTCAGCATCATTTATTAAACATCATTTTTAATGGTCACATTAGATCATCAACTAAACCCAGATTTATTTAACCTGTCTGTTTCCACTTTTTTTATGGTGACAAGTCTAGTCGGTGTTGTTTAGAAGTTCCTCTTGAGAAGCTCTGAGCGAGCCGGGGGTGTAACATGGGGCGGTTTCCCACCCTCCCCGAGACTCAGGCGCTTATTCCAGGTCTTCAGAGCCAGAGCGGCCGAGGGGAACCGATGTGCTCCTGAAATGTGTGTGAGCTGCTATGATTTGTCATCTCTGCATGGTGACAAAAGCCAGCACTGTTTCACCAACAAGGAAACAGTGGCCAACTGGTCTCAATTTGACTGAAAATCAATGTCATATAGGAGCTCCCGTGAGCCTGAAGATGAACCCACACACCCACATCTCCCGTGTCCACTGACAGCTCACACACATGCATATTCGTGCACTCACTAACACCACTACACACTCTCAGGCAGGCTCTCAGCCAGATACCCAATGCACACTTGCACACAGACCTCCAGAGCCAGCACACAGCCAGGGCTCCAACTCTGTGGGTCTTTACCAGCCAGATGGCGGGAACTGCCCTTGGTCACCCATGAGGCACTGTTGAGCCGGATTGCTCTGTTGGCTCACCCCACCCTGGACGAAGTGGATACTGAGCAGATGTACCTGAAAGACTCCTCATTGATGTGCCTGTGGACCGTGCTGCTTCCAAGTCTCTAGTCTCTAGGGCCCAGGGAGCAGGCCCTACCCACCTTCCCATTCCCCCATCAAAGCTTTTTCCTGGGAAGCATATGATCAAGGACAGCTTTGCAGTCGTATACTTCCTCTTGTGCTCATTCATTCATAAATGTTGAACAAAAGAGCCCTTTCCCTCACTACATTTCTAACAGTAAAAATCAACATTAATATTTGTGAATAGTCAATGTGCGTTTTGCCAAATAACTTCTCTCTGAAGTGTGAATGAACTGGGGTGCCAGGCCCTGTCTGTGCCGCTGTAATGTAAAGACTCTCAGAATGGGTTGGGAGCATGACAACACCTTGACCCACAACTAGTAATCGTAACACAGAGCTTGAGTCCTGCTTCCTCTGCCTTGTCTAGAACAGCAAGGCATCGCATGAGCTCCGTCAGCTCATGGGACAGGCTGTGGAGTGGCCGCTGAGGCCCGAGGGAGTCCAGGGCTGTGTCTTCACTTTACATTGAAGCTCTCACTGGAGGCGTGTCCCAGGACACCGGGCAGCAGGACTGACAGTGGGATGGGCCGCAGGTGCCCTAAGAGAAGAACCTCATCTGCATGGCTGAGCAGCAGGCCCTGCCAGGAGCAGATTCAGGCTTGCTGAGCCATGGCAGGTGCATTGCAGGTGTTGTCACAAGGATGCCATTCTCTCATGTCCATTTTACAGGGGAGTGATCTGGGCTTAAGGAGCCACGAAACTTGACATGAGCCACACCCAGTTCTGCTATCAAACATCAGCTCTTTACTAATGGAGACCACCTTCCGTAAGACACAAGCCTGCAGGGTACGGAGGGACTCCTGGGACCCCTGAGACGGGGGGCGGGGTGTCACCTTGCCACCAGCCTGCAGCAGTCTGGCCCTCCAGGGTGCACTTTCTTGCGGTGTACGCTCCGCTGGCATGGTATTGCTCTGAGGGGGTCCACTTTCCTCAGTTCCCCACGGAAAAGACTGAGTTGCCTCCTGTGGGTTATACGTCATTTTCTGTACTTATTTAACCTCCAGCAACCATTTTCAGAACTCGATCCCTGTAAATATTTTTTTTCAAAGGCCCCTTTTCAGTCTTAAGGAGCAGGAAGCAATATTCTTTTAAAAACCAATTAGCCACACATTTTTGCTCATTAAATAAATATTTTTACTTTGGACCCAATTGATTTTTCAGATACGAGGAACAATGGACTGAGTCACCTGTTTGCAGGTCTGCAGCCCCTTTCCTCCTTGTTCTTTGAAGTCCATGGGAGGCGGCCACACCTCGCGCACGGTGGGACCCGGTCCTACCCACAGACGCATGCCTGGATTCTCACCAACTTCACGGGTGTTTAGATATTGGCATTTCACCTGCTAACATATCCTTCTTCTTGGAACCCCATGACATGCCCTGCAGGGGAAAATACCCAAGGGATAAAGGGATGGAAACATCTGGGAAAGAGTGCCCGGAAGTCTGCCCCCGGGAGCTCCTCACACAACCACGCTCTTGCCAGCTCCTCCCAGCAATGCCAGCCCGGGGTCTTCACCCGCCTTGTTTATGAAGCCCCGACTTGCCTTATTTCCTGACATCTCTTTCCCTATTTCATGGCTGCTGGTACCAATGGAAGGCAGGTGAGAGAGGCCAAGACTTGTTCAGTTCTGTAAAAGAAGCCTTCAGCACAGGTTTATTCATCCAGCACGTGTGGATTGAGTGCTTACCTACCCCAGGTCCTGCTTTAGGTGCTGGGTGTAGAGCGGATCTTCCTTCACAGTGAGGGAGGCAGGAGTGTGGGCATCGGTAACTGCTGCAGCACACCCGAAGGTGAGACGTGCTGTGGAAACAGTGAAGTCAGGGGAGCAGGGCTAGGGGACAGCACTGGGCAGGTTCCGAGTTCCACAGGCAGGAGAGGCCTGATCAGGGAGATGCTGTTTGAGTACATACCTCGCGGAACGGAGGCACTGCTGTCTACACCAGGGATCTGGGGGAAGAGCAGGAAAGGTCCTGACACAGGTGCTCAGAGTCAGGGGCTGGTGACCATGGCCAGCCACAGGGTGGGTGAATGGGACACGCAGTCCTGCCGCACTAGTGCTGGCCTGCACTGACTAGCGTCAGCACCTCTTGAAGCCAAAATGCCAAAGAAGTGTTTGTTTCTATACCTTCCAGCGTTTTCTTCTTGCCTGCGATTATGTTTCTGCTGACTGACACTGAATCCATGTCCCACTAATCTTATAGTACTTTTGTTCTGTCTCTAGTTTGTACAGATCGACAGGATACCAAACCAAATGACAGGTCTTACAGGAAATGTATTTAATTTAGTTTAAATAAATGTCATATCAGTTACTTAGATAGTCAAATAGTTCATATAATACTCCTGAACAGAAATAGCCACAGGAATAAATAAATAAAGATTTAGAGTAGAAAGCCAAAGAAGCAGAATCAACAAATAATTGATATATGTAAACGGGTATCTTTCAATTTCTAGTAGTCCTCAGTTTTGGTGTTTGCACATTCATAAGTTGATTATTTTGGTGATGTTAATAGAATTCATTTAAGTGGTTTATTTTCTAATTCTTGAAGTGAGCTTAGAACTGGCTTATGGGCTAATTTCTAACCTGCACTAAGGGCTATGTGCCATTAAATTCATGTAGCACATCAGAAAGATACACTAGAAAACATATGAAAACCATAACTTATTATTTCAAAAGGGGCTAAAAAGAAGCAAAATGATTGAAGCTATGAAAGAACAACATAGTGATTTAGAATTAGAACCAC